CATTAAACTACTCGCCCAATCCCCTGGTTCTTAGTCAAACCAGCAAAGTTTTGATACCCTAGACCAAAATATAGACCATGCAATAAAAGCACATTTTTTCTAGCCAAGCCCACAAATTTTCAAAATTAACCATTTGAATGTGTTATTTGATAGAATATTTGAAATCTGATTAAAAATATGGATAAGATATTAAATGACTCAAATCATGAACATAGATTGTATGCTATAAGATCATTCATTTATCGTACAAAAAGATCACAATTAGTTGAAACTATCAAACGTGAAATCCGACAACCAAAGGTGTATCACACATTTCAGATCTAATGATATAGTGATTATAACCAGTGTAAAAAATAAGTGGTGTTATAGACTACTTTTTTCCTTACTTTAAAGATATTCAAGTAACCCAAACCTTTAGGTTTCAACAGCATTTGATTTCAAAATGAGTTTTGGGGAGTCAGGCAAATACCTACCATCAATTAAGGCACGGCAGTGTCTTTAAAAGAATCACGGCAGGACTCACCCGAGTTGGGATAGATCGGGAACCTTCTCGTTGAAAGGCACTAAATCTCCCAAGTTTACCCTTGTAAGAAACGTAATTTTTTTTAAATTCTCTAGTTAAAATTTCGTTAAAATTTCAGCAATCGGGGCAGGTGAATCGAATTGAGACCCTAGCGTGTCCCTGCCCGAGTCTGCCTGTTTAATCAGGCAGATCATACAGAAGATGGTACACTAAGGGAAAATAGAATCCTGGCTCGTAAAAAGTGATTTGATTGATGAAGAAAGGCCAATTTTTGGTTCAGTTCTCCGCCTTAAAGATGAAAAAAACAGATTAATCAAAACAAAAGAAGATGGTACATGATTGATGACGAAGAAAGGCAAATTCTTTGGTTCAGTTCTCCACCTTAGAGATGAAAAAAAAAGATTAATCAAAACAAAAGAAGATGGTGCACTACTGTATCAATACCTGAAGATGTCACTTACTGTTGTCCTCAACCCAGATGAGGTGAGGGAATAGAAACAGCCCTTTCCCTGCATGAAGCATTGGCAGCTAACCAGTTACAGGGAAAACATCGGAGAATTTACACATTAGTCATGCTATGAGGAATCCTTAATTCTCTTCAATCTTTTTGAAACCTATTTTTCCACAGGAGCAGGTATCTGAGAGAACATAGAACCATCTAAGTTGATTCGTCGGCCTCAATAGCCAAAGCATAAACATCTCACAGCAACAGGATGTAATATTTGTAGTCAACCAACACTGCTAGTAGTAGTCCCTGTGAGATTCCGGTAGGTAATGGAAAGTCCAAGTGAAGCATTGAGACTAATCTCTTGGAGAGAAAACATGGAGACTTTACACATTCATCACTCCACGAGGAATCATTGATTCTCTTTCAATTTTTTTGAAACCCCATGCCTCCACAACAGCAAGCATCAAAAAGAAATAGAACCATCTAATTTGATTCATCCTCCCCCATAGCCAACCATGATCAGCTCACGGCACCAGGACGCAATCTATTTGTCATCAACCAACACTGCTAGTTGTAGTCCCTGATCAGGTGTGAGATTCCGGTAGGTAATGGAAACGACCCCTGCATGAAGCATTGGCAGCTAACCTCTCAAAGAGAAAACATGTTACACATTAATCACTCTTATGAGTAATCCTTGATTCTCTTTCAGCCGCTTTGAAACCCCACGGCTCTGCAGGAGCAAGCATCCGAAAGAAATGGAACCATCTACTTTGATTCATCCTCCTTGATAGCCACAACACAATCATCTCACAGCACCGGGATACGTTGTCAACCAACACTGCTATTAATAGTCCCTGATGGATGAGAACCAACACTGCTATTAATAGCCCCTGATGGATGAGAACCATGTAGCATACGCATCTACGATAACAATTCTGAATTCAACCCATCTTAGTTAAGCTTTGCTGCTGCTGCTGCAAAGTGAACCCAAGAAAATTTTCAGATTTCAGAAATCAAATCTAGACCTTCAAAGATATTGGTAAATTCACTTCAACAGTCCATAAACCAAATTAAAATTGATATACCCATGCATTTTACAGGAGTTACATCTCATCGCTGAAATGGAGCCTTTCTTGATTTGATAAAATGGAAGAACCCTAACAGCTCCTAAACAAAAATTCAGCGCATGCCAGAGTGAGTTTTAATATAGCAATCCACAAATCCAATCATCCTCACACACATAAAAATCAGGTCAAAAATTTATTCGAGTCCCAGAAACACCCACAATGATCACACCTCGTCAATGACAATGGGAACATATCATTCAAACGTCCATCTTTCAAAGGAAAAACTACTACCAGTAGGACAATACACATACATACATACATAAATATGCAAAGCTCAACAGCCACAGAAAAGAAAATTCTGTTCTGTTTTGAATTTAAGCATGACAAGAATGATCTCTTTCAAAAGAAATGAAACTTAAGACCCTGAACTGGTTTAAACTTCACCACAACAAAGTTTAGAAAACAATGTAACTGATACCAGTTGTGAATGAGATACAATGAAGAAGCGAACCCCAATTTTAATACCAGAATTCATTGTGAGCTACGGGAAATGGACCACTTCATGAAAGTGCAAGCCATAAAACTTTTGCCGGCATGCAGAACGAGTCGTGCCTTGGAAAGAGCAGATCTACCACTGCTGGTAGTGACAGGGGCATCGAGAGGAGCATGAGAGTTGAGGGCAGTAGTAGCAGCCACTGAGCGATCCAAGTGCTCGGGGACACAATCACTGGTGCTAGCATCAGGGGGATCATGAGTGTCAAGGTTCACAGCAAGTGACCCCCTGCTCGCCCTCAGCCACTCTGCCCCCTCAGAGGTCACCCCCCTACACTTTTTCACCTTCACCTTCACAAGATTGGGGCAGCCTGCTGCCAGGGCCTCCATACCCTGATCCGAGACTGGGCAGCCCTTGATACAGAGCTTGCGAAGGGATGCGCACTTGGCCGCAATGCAGCTGAGCTCTACATCCCCAATGGTCTCACTGCCACACAGGGCCAGCCGCTCGAGGCCAAGGCAGTTGGTGGCAAGGAGACTCAGGCTGGCAGAAGTGGGATTCACCCCAATCAGCACCAGCTCCTGCAGGTTCTTGCACTTGCGTGCCACTGCCACCAGGCCATCGTCCCCGATTCGGTTAGTTTTCCACCCATCGATGTGCAGCTTGCGCAGCATCCTGCAGCAGTCAGCCACAGCGGCCAGCCCAGCATTGGTGCATTCGGGGGTCTTCACAAGGTGCAGGACCTCAAGATCTGCGCATCCGGCGAGTGCCAGCAAGCCCCGATCACTGACCTGGAGGCGCTCAAGGTGCACTTCAACAAGCCCCTGGACCTGGGCGGCGATGGCCTCAAGGAGGCGGTCCCAATCGCCCGAGCAGCGGTAAAGACGGAGGTTGCGGAGGGATTTGGATGCAGCAATGAGCGGGGAAAAGCACTGCCCGTTGTAGAGCTCCTTGAGGCAAATCGTGCGCAGTGAGGTGGAGCAGCCGGGGGGTGGGCCAATGGGCTGGGCAGTGCCATCAGCAAGGCCTCGAAGGCGTTTGATGGATAGCTCCTCTAGGGCAGGGCAGTAGCGGAGGACAGAATTCATGCCACGCGCCCCGAAGGTGCAGGAGGCACAAGACAGCTTGCGGAGGGCGGGACAGTGCTTGGCGAATGCCTCGATGCCAGCATCTGTGAGCTCACGGCAGGCCTTGAGCTTGAGTTTGGTTAGGGACGGGCAGTGGACAGCCACGAGGGCAAGAGCCTCATCGTTGATGCTGAGCATTCGGCGATCACACTTGAGTGCCAGCTTCGAGACGCGGTCAAAACGCACAAAGAGGGACGGAATCGCGGTGAGCAGGTGGGAGGTGGCATCAAGGGAGAGCCGCTGCCGACTCTGGCCCTCTACACGGAGCCACCGCTTACAGACCAGGGAGCATCGCTTGCGGTCACCGGGGCCCAGGCTCTGAAATATGCAGGCGAGGCACTCATCGGGCAGCTCCGATATCAGATCTGTGGGGCAACGCCGACCCTCATCCAGATCTCTCTCTCCAGTGGTTGCAGATGCAGGAGGTATGGAGCAGGAAGAGGAGGACGAGGAAACCTGCCCCATACAAACAACTGAAACCCTCCTCTCTCTCTTCTCTCCCCCTTAAACTACTAATCTCTCTCTCCTTACGTGGTTTAAGGCCGCCCAACAAACAAATAAACAAAAGTAAAATCCCCGGCAACGCCGGCAGCCGCGCCTCCCTTTCTCTTCTTCCTTCCTCCCCTTTCCTCTCCTCCGCTCTCTCTCTCTCTCTCTACCCCTTTCCTTCCGGACTTCAACTCCTCATTTAATCCGCCTCACTCCCCTTTGCCTTTATATTCGCTGATAATAATAATCAGCATTTTTTATGCCTTGGTGCGTGTGTGCGTGGTCGCTCCGTCGAGGGCATGGTCAGCTCCGTCCGTATGGTCTGCTTCGAACCGTGTCCCCCGCTTTATTTTGACCACCATCCCTCCTTCGCAAGTGAATGATAACTGTTGAAGTACAGCGCACCTTCAAATAGTGCGCATAAATGTGATTTCAATAGTAGAAATCTTTGTGATAGTTTTAAAAGATAAGAAAATTATCAGGAAAAAAAGTTCATATAGAGCCGAGGCTAAACAATCTACCTCAATAATTTCGTTAAACGAAATCATTTTGATGTTCAAAAATCTTCAAATTGATTATCTCGACATCAATATGTATGGATATGAAAAAAAAATTAATTTTAAGTTTTAGAAATAATGTATTTTATAATGCATGTTTTGACCAGCAATTTTCAAGTTTTCATAGATTTGCCGATCTACACTATAACTTTATAAATAAAAATAAAAACATATTTTAAGGCTATCACAAAGATTTTCAACGTTGAAACCACATTTTTCGATACTATTAAAGATAGACTCTAATTTGATTGTTTAGAGCCTAGGCTCTATCACAAACCACAACCTTATTATAAATATTTTCAGCTTATTAAAAAAAAAAAACCTATATATATATATATATATATATTTATTTATTTATTTTTATTTTTTTTTACCAAAATAGCTTTAAAAGCATCACGGCATACACACTGAAATGGCTTTAAAAAACTCTAAGCTTTTTCTCTCCTCTCTCCCAAATCCGTTTCCCTTTTTCTTCTTTTCTCTCTCCTACTCCCCCTAGGAGGGCTCATTCCTTTTCTTTTTTTTCTCTCTTAAAAAACTCTCTACGAAATTCCTCAGGCCATCTCCCTCTTTGTTAAAGGGGTGCTGATCCGCCCACTCTTCATCAATCTCTCTCTTTGTAAATGGCAATCTCTCTCTTTGTAAGTCGCTTATTCTTCTTATCTTCTGTCTTAAAAACCCTCTCTTTAATCAAATTTTCCATATCATGGATTGAAGCATCAAGGCCTCTAGGTCGTCATCCTTGTCCGATGAAGTTCAACTTGACTAGATGCCTTATTGTCTTTTTTTGTTTTAACCTAATAACCAGATGAGAAAGAAAGAGCTTTAGAGGTTCCAAACATCTATTTGAGACTCCATGATTTGCAGCTCTCTCAAAAGGTTTCCGGGAGTACCTTCTATACACTCTCTCAAGAAATTTTTTTTACTAAGAAATAGATCCCAAATTTTAAGCATGAAATCTCTAACGACCAACCTCAACAAAATAAATAAATAAATAACTCTTGCCCTTTATGTACCTAAAAAAAATGGCATTCCAAGATTACACTTAGGCCAATCAATCTCAAACAAAAAAAAATTTAGCTATTTTCTATCTATGTACCTAAAGAAATGTCATCCCAAACTTACAATGAAACCATTTAATTTTTCTAATAAATGATCTAGTTAGATGTATCCTAAAATTTCAAATTAAAAGAAATAACCAAGTCCCTTCAGTTTTTCTTTGTTGACTTTGGACTCCATGATTTGCAGCTCACATGGTAAACCATTATTATGCATACAATTAAAAAATCCCGCTAAGTGTCCATCCCAATTTACGCACATATCTTCTCATACTACGTTATTCAAACGATCTTTTATTTTTCATGTTACTATATTTAGGATTTGCACCCGTAACGTAAGGCGTACCTCCAAATTTTATCATGTGATGTAATTATGGTGTCAAAAATTTTATGGATGGCCTGATAATCTATTTTCAGTTTTAGTTATAAAGTTTGAACTTCAAAAATAGTTTAAAACAAGCAAATCTAAAATCACATAAAAATATTGAAAATAAATGATCCAGATAATATGTGTCGCAAGAATCAAGATACAATATTTTTGAAACTTAGAAGTGCCATTTTTTTGTTTTTTTGCATATCCTTAACATCTAGATATCAATAGGATCGGTTAGGAGATTTTCCAACATCAAAACAACTTTTTCAAATAAATATTTGAGGTGCATCTTTATTCTACATTTTAAGATTGCAATCTTATATAAACCAAAGATTTAAAAAAATGATCGGTGACCCGGATCATCCATCCAAAAAATTAGGTCGGATTGACAATCCAGAATGGACATTTCGTCAGATCTAGACTTAAAAATATTAAAAAATCCATTAAAAATCATTATAAATAATGTTATTTGGGTTTTCAAGAACAATGGAAATAATACATTATTAATTTATATTATCATGCAAAAATAAATAAAATATTGACCTGTCTTTTCCTGTTTGAATGTCTGTTGATTATATTTTGGTTGTGTTGCTGCCCATTGGTTCATGGTGCTTTTCTCTCTCTCTAGAGATGATGAGGGAGGAAGTGGTAGTTTTGAAATGGGTCTAAAGTCTAAACTCTTTGCCCTTATGGTCTCTGTTTTCATGTATTTCCATGGTGTCAAAAAAAAAACTTGTTTATAATGTTTTGGTTTTGAAGAACAACATAATTTAGTCCCTAACAATAAAATGTTTATTGTGAGAATGAGTGTCAATAGTATTTTTTTGGTGCGGAGAAGACATAAATTTCAACAACAATTTCTTTTGTTCCCGTTAATTTTGAATAAAATTTATTATGTGCGATCATCCATCGTGTATGAAACATATAACTTAACAATAAACTTGCATATCATATCTATTCTATTTATTATAATAATTTTGTAAGTAGAAAACTGACATATTTATTTACCACATTTCCATCTAATGCAATCATGTTTTTTCCCATTCAAACTTTTATTTATAAATTTTTCTAATAATATCGCTTTTCAATAACACACTCTTATGGCTTTATATCCATTTTGGTTTATTGTAAATATATCCATTTTGGTTTTTCCTCAATAGCAAATTTCTAAACTTTTTGTTTGGAAATCTACACTCCCTAGTTCCGTTGTCCATGTCCATTTGCGCATGGTATTTTAAATTGGGCAAGCTTTTTTATGCTCCCCTGCAGCATATAAGTTTTATCCTCCCTTTACCATCCAGCCGTCCAATTTTGATCAATAGAGTCACTCTGCGTTTGATCTTAGATTCGATATTTTGAAGTATTTTATTTTTAGTTTTTTTATAAAAATTGCATGAATATGAAATTTGGTACGTACCATATTCTCACTGGGGTGCACCTATAAAAAATATTAAAAATAAATTTTCAATAAAATATAATGACCAAAATACCTCTTGAAGATTTCAAAGGTATTTTGGTCATTATATTTTATTGAAAATATTTCTTTTATATTTTTCACTAGTGCAAGTTTAATAGAAGAATGGACATCCAAACTTCGGTGTCAAAACAATTTATAGAAAAAACATTAAAAAAAAAATGGTGTAGAGACGTGACATTGTGATTGAGGTAATCTTAGTCCTCCATTTAGAATGAATGGTTGGATAAGGGGGAGGATAGAACTTCTCTGTTGCCGGGAAACATAGAAACCTTTCCCTTTTAAATAAGGGTACAGTTGCTGTAGAGGTCAAGTGCACCTTCAAATTTTATTATGGTATATACTTTTGATGTAAAATGTTCTTAGGATTATCTCAAAATCTATTTTTATATCTAATTATAAAATTTTAAATTTAAAAAATAGTTAAAATCAAATAGATCTATAAACACATGAAAATCTTGAAAATGGATGGTGTAGATAATATGTTGTAAAATGCACTATTTCTGAGATTTAAAATCTTTTTATTTTTCATGGTCATACATCTCCATGTCGAGATGATCAAAGGGTTTTTAACATTAAAACAACCTTTTTCAATGGATTTTTGAAGTGCATCCGTAGTTCTACATTATAAGGTTGCATCATTATATAAACTCTTTCCTTTAAATGAAAGGCATTTTGAATACTTAAATAGTTACAGGGGTGTGGTTTGTATAGAGCCTAGGTTCTAATCAATAAAATTAGAGCCTACTTTCAAGTAATGTTGAGAAATGAGGTTTCACTATTAGAAATCTTTGTGATAGCCTTAAAATATATTTTCATATCTATTTATAAAGTTTATAGCTTCAAAAATAGTGTAGATTGACATATCTATAAAAAGTTGAAAATTGACGATCCAAAAATACGTTACAAAATGCACTATTTTCAAAACTTGCCATTGATTTTTTTCTCATGTCCATGCATCTTGATGTCGAGATGATCAATTTGAAGATATTTTCGCATCAAAACAATCTTTTCTAGTGAAATTTTTGAGATAGGCTCAAGTTTGATTGTTTAGAGCTTCGGCTCTATATAAACTTTTCCCATAATTACAAACCGTTCATTTATTTAATTTTTTTGTAAAGACTATGCAGTCATTTATTCTCTACTGGAAAATGGTGGGATTAGCTCACTAGCTCATATGAACATATGCATTTATATGAGCTGAATAGTCTAGATTGAATCCAGGGCGATCTGATGGTCACGATTTCATTTTGTAT